ACTGCTGTGGGCCCAGGCAACTGTCTGAATGGGCCTGGGCGCAGACACTTTGGCCCAATGTGAAGCTACCGGCCACACCCATGTCAGGCCCAGGCATCCAGACGCAGGGCTGCACTTTCCGTATAGGAAAGTGCCTCACCCAGCCAGGGCACATTCTGGCTTTGCGAGTCTGGGCGGCCACGCTGCTGCATTGTAGCGCTGGCGAGGCTGCCTGGGTGCTGGCAGGCCAGGGCGCGCACGGGCGCTAAGAGGTGAGAGGGGGACTGCGGTGGCGGTGGGAGCAAGCGGCCATAGCCAGGCCTGCTTGCGCAGATGCTGGTGTGGGCGATGGTGGTCTTCAGGTGACAGAGGGCGCATACTATGGGGAGGAAGGGGGTGAGGTCAGAGGGCAGAAGAGACACGTACCTGGTGTATGCTGGCAGTCTGCATTGGCGCCATCGTCACGTACATTGGTCTTCAGCGTGAAGTGACTCCTATTGCTTATATGTCGTGGTACGCTAGATAGCTGCTGAGTAGGATAGGCTGGGCGCTGAGTAGCATAAGCTAGATAGCGACATTGGATACTATGTTGGCGCTGGCGAGAGAGGGTCGACATTGACATTTGAGTTTATTGTATTGCTCTTTTTTGGCATGTATCTCGGTGCATTGTGCTTTCTGCTTGGTACACGGCTATCTGGTCTTCAGCATGATATCGCAATTTCGTTTTCTAAGTCTTTTCTTGTCTATGGCTCTCGCTCATTTTCCTTGCCCAAGTTGTTAAAACAAAAAAAAAGAGACCCGGCCCATGTGGCTGGGTGGTACACTCATGAACTGTTGAGTGTGAATCCTGATGGAATAAGATGAAATCCGAATTCCGTGGGGCCAGTCCAGTCAACAATGATACCTGAAGAAAATAAACAAAAAGAAGGAAAAGCGGAGAAAAAGTAAGAAAAGGAGAGAAAAAGCAAGAAAAGGTGAGAAAAAGAAAGGTGTTACGATTCCGGCCAATTTCGAAGTATACAAACATCAGAAAGTACAATGCCGTCCAATTGCAAAAAGAAATGAATGAACTTGAGAGGAGAGAGAGGGAAAGAAGAAGAAGAAGAAGAAGTAAGAAAGAAGAAGAAGATGATGTACTCCAGGATAGACCAATGACAAGGCTCTTCATCCTCGCCCACCAATCTCCTCCTCCTTATCTCCTCCCCTCTTATTCAAACAAGAAATAACAATAATAATGTTGAATGGCTGAACCAGAATCAATGTCCGAATCCCACTTCTACTGCAGGCACAACATGAGGTCCACCATAGCCATGGCCACCCTTCCTCTTCCTCTACAGACAGGCCAAGGCTATGGCAGAGTACTGAGGGGTCTCCCTCCTGTCCAAAGGACAACCCAAAGCAGCTATGCCGCTGCCCTTCTTTCCCCAGGTTAACTCCATGCAGCTATGCCGCTGCCCACTCAACCGCCATGCCTGACTCTGTCCCGAGCTTCCTTGATGCGGAACTACTACCCCCACTGGGGCCTTCCAGATGCAGCGCCTAACAAGGTGATGAAGATGGTGTCTACCACAGCCAGGTAACTACCCCACCACTCTTCTCCTTGGTTCCCTTCTCCCTCCTCCTCCTACCGGTAGAGCTCCACCATAGCCAAGGTGGAAGCTCCCGGCTTCTTCCTCCAGCAGCGCTGTAGTACCCAGCGCCACTCCAGCCAGCGCTCCAGCAGCGTGTCGCCAAACTTGCACACTGAAGAATGAGGCCGAGCTCTTGCCTCGGCCTCTTGATATAGCGGCCTGCTTGCCTCCTGGGCAGTGACTTCCAGGTCGCTCGGCCTCCCAAGCAACCGGTACCTCCTCCCTTTCGGAGGGAAACATCATTGCAGACTCTGATTTTGCCCGCACAGGCTCTAGACTCAGACTGGATGGACTGGTACCGGCCTAGACCTAGCCTGCCGCTACTGGGCCTCTAAAAATGCCAACTTTGTCTTCTTCTGCTCGGCCTCGAGTACCCGGCACGTCTACTGCTACTGGGTGCGGTACCGGCCTACCTGCTACTTGAGTGTTTTTCCGCTGCTCTAAGCACCACGGGCCCCTGGCTCCGCTACTTGAGTGTTTTCCCTGCTGCAACCCTCAATGCCACGGCCACAGGTAAGTACCGGCCCTACGGGCCTGCCAAACAAGCAAGTACCCTTACGGGTCACACACACACTCATGCCTACAAGCACTCAGGCAGGCACGCACACATACAGACTTAGAAAACACAGCAGAGTGCGGGAATCTCAGCAAGGCATCCATTCCATCGGCAGAACTTCAGAAATCAGCAGTGTTCTCAGTCTGTGTCATGGCGGGTCATTACAAAGGGGAAAATTGTTGAAATACCCCTAAAAGTTTAGGTATTTCTTCAGATACCTCTAAACACAGGGGTACCACAAAATGCCCCAAACCTACTGCATATGCAACTGTCCTGGCCATGGGCACCTTTGCCATATGCCCTTGGTCGTGGATTGCAGAGGCCGACGCACTTCTTTTGCCATCTGCCCCTGTGCCAAGCTGTCATCTTTTCTGGCTGCCCCACATCCAATTCGAATTTTGCACGTGTTTTGGTGATGGTACTGTTTTCCACTGGAGTGTTGCCCTTGCTGCTGGTTCTACTTGTAGCGTGTTTCCATAGCCACACAGGTAAGATGCTTCCACACGACACACCTTCTCTCCTCCCCACATCCATCTCCACTATCTTCCCTTCTCCTGCTCTATTCCCACCTTCCCACCTACATGTTTCTGTCTCATCACCTCTTCTGCTGCCGGTTCTGCTTGTCGTGTGTTTCCACAGCCACCCAGGTAAGATACTTCTCCTAAGGGAAGATTATGGAGGTGGGAAGTGGGAATAGAGCAGGAGATTGATGAGAAAGGCGTAGAGATGGAGGTGGGAAGATGATGAGACAGAGACGGAAAATGACGAGAAAGGCGTAGAGATGGAGGTGGGAAGGTGGGAATAGAGAAGGAGAAGGGAAGATGATGGAGATGGGCGTGGAAAGGTGAGAAAGGCATAGAGATAGAGGTGGGAAGGTGGCTGCAATAAATCGCGGTATCCCGGTGGGACTGTACACTAACTGTGTTTGCTGTTTCCTTGGTTTGGGCCTTGCGGGACTTGATCCCGTGACCTGTAATTTGTACGTTCGGTTTGTTAGCTTTGAGCCCTACTGGGCTTGATCCTTAGACCTGTAGCTAGTAGTCTCTATTTGGCAGCCTTAGACCTTAGGCTTTGCTGTTTTGTCGTTTTCTGCAGTTGCTGAAGTCAACCCGGGACTTGATCCCATGACCTGTAGTGTGTTTGTGGTGATTGACTGTTTTTGAGCCTTATTGGGCATGAACCTTGAACCTGTCTCTAGTAATCTCTACTTCATAGTCTTAGGCCTTTCTCGATTTATGTGTGTCATCCTTGCGCACGGGCCATGCTAATCTTCTCTGTATCGTTCCAATTTTAACGGTTGTCCCGAAGGACTGAGCCTTTCAGCCTTGTTGTTTTGTCCTTTTCTGCCCTTCTGGAAACTGGGAGGCCCGTAGGTCTTTCTTTTGTGTGTCCTAGCCTTGGGTCCCCTTACTCTAGGTTTCCATCTAGATGCATGTAGGTAGATCTTGACCGTTTTGCCGTAGATGTTTGCTGTTTGGACGGTCAGATAGGTCTGTAGGTGGCTGCTGTGTTGTAGGTCTAGGGAAGTCGGGTAGAAGTAGGCAGAGGCCAACAAGTTTGAGGTTCTTTCATTGCTTTTTTTTTCACAGTCTTGGGGGAGGTCGTGTTGCTTCCCTGCTGCGCTATTGTGGACATGTATGCAGGGCATCTTCTCCACATGCCGCTGGCGGCCATAGCTGGGGCTAGCCAGCTCCATTGGTGACAAAGTTGGGCTCTGCGCCCAAGTGCTGATGAGCGCTTCCTCATATTTGTGTGCTTGTTGGGGTTTGGTCAGCTGCCACCAAAGCTGCACTTTCAGTGGTTCTTCTACGTGGCAGATTTTCATCTTCATCGATCTTCATCATCTTGGGAGCTGCGATCCCCTGCTGAGTGGACACTTCATCTGCAGTGGGCTTCTTGAGTGGTGCACACACACACACACAC